TCCCATGCTCCCCCTCTGAACCCCACTATGAATTAGCCCCCTTATATCAGAGAAAACATTCGTCATTTGGTTTTGGGGGATTGGCTAACTTCATTTAACATTATCTTCTCCAGCTCCATCCATTTACCTGCAAATGCCATAATTTTATTCTCTTTTATTGCTGAGTAATATTCCATTGTGTTTATATACACCACATTTTCTTTATCCATTCATCTACTGAAGGGCATCTAGTTTGGTTCCACAGTTTAGCTATTGTGAATCGTGCTACTATAAACATTGATGTGGCTGTGTCCCTATTGTATGCTGTTTTTAAGTCCTTTGTGTATAGACCAAGGAGTGGGATAGCTGGGTCAGATGGTATTGCATTCCCTCTTTTCCAAGGAATCTCAATACTGCTTTCCATATTGGCTGCACCAATTTGCAGTCCCACCASGAATGTATGAGTGTGTGAAAAAGGAAAAGCCAACACTGCAACCCAATAAAAGGTATTTATTGGGTTTCTCCAGAAAACGACAGATTTTCTTGCAGGCCAATCATTTATAAAAGGCCAGGATTTCTCTCAGCCTACTGTTTTCACTTGTGTCAAATGTTCCTCTTCATGTTGTTTTTGGGACTGGGAATCTGAAGCAGAAAGGAAAAGACTGCTGTCATTTTATGAGGCATAAACTCTTTATTCTTTGATCAAGAATGCCTTGTGCCCAGTTAATTCTCCTCCTTCCAAAAAGAATCTCATGTCATTTGTCAGCATCCATGAAAATGCCATGTTGTTTAATAGGTTATAAATAGATTAAAATCTAAACCTTCATAGTTCATGAATTATTTGCATATATTATTAATCAAACAGCATTAATATAAAACCAAAACTGTGGAGTGTGTACTTTGTCAAATGTGCTTTATGCATAGATCAAGGAACATGGGCTTAGAGAAGTTAGGTAACTTATCTGAAGTCTGTCTCTTAAACTAGTGCTTTTACACTAAATATTGATTGAGTACTTTTAGACTGTTGAATATAAATTAGAAAAATTTTTAATTGTTTTCCTTATGTTAGATTATGAGATATTTCTACTGAATTGTGACATTTAACATATTTGCTTTGATTTTTTTTTTGGAAATAATCGGTTCCAGGTGTGGTGCTGTACTTGCAATCCCAGTGACTCAGGAAGGTGAGGCAGGAGAATCTCCAGTTTGAGTCTAACCTCAACAACTTAGTGAGACTCTTGTCAATAAAAAAATAAAAAGGACTAGAGATGTGTAGCACAGTGATAAAGCACCCCTAGGTTTGATCCTCAGTATTGAAAAATAAAAATAATAATGGTAGTATCATTCATATATGTGTGTGTGTGTATGTGTGTGAGTATAAATAAATAAATAATGTGTTTTGTTTTTGTTTTAGAATTATTCTCTGTGTACTTCAGGCTGTACCTCAAACCTTCCCAAGAAATTAATAGAGTTTTAGTGGCTAGAATAATTCATGCTGTTACCAAAGGATGCTGTTCACAAACTGATGGATTAAATTCTAAATTTTTAGATTCTTTCTCCAAGGCTGTTCAGTATGCAAGGTAATTTAATTTCTTTTTGTGTTGGCTTTTTAAATTTGTGTGTGTGTCTTATGTTAAATATAGTAAATAAAACTACTGCCTTTTAAAAATGATTATTTTGATTCTATAAATTTGTGGAGTATAATGTKATAATTTAATACATACATGCAGTATATAATGATCAAATCTGGGTAGTTAACATTTCCATTTCCTTATACATTAAATTTTGTTTTACTCATACGTATTCTTAGGTTACTGTGTGATATTTCGGTACATGTAAGAAACTAGATTCATTTTTTACCTGTTCAAAAATAAACTCAGAGTGGATCAAAGGGAAACATAAAGGAAACATTGGTAAAGCAAACAGTTTTAAAATTTTTTGAGTAGATCCCAAAAGCAGAAATAGACAAAAGAGGGCTATGTTAACTAAGAAGACTCTGCCCAACAATCAATAGACAACCTATAGAAAGGGAAAACTTTTTTTAAAAAAAAATTATTTATTTATTTTTTATCTGTTTAACTTAATTGTATATGACAGCAAAATGCATTTCAATTCATTGTACAGAAATGGAAAGCAACATTTCAATTGTCTGGTTGTRTATCGTACAGTTATACATGTACCTAGGCTAATGATGTCCATCTCATTCTACCATCTTTCTTGCTCTCATAATAGAAAGGAAAAACTTTTTTTTTTTTTTGCATTTGACAAAGGATTAATATCTAGAATAGAAAAAGAACTTAAAAACTCAACAAAAATACAAAAAACTGGGCAAAGGACTTGAATTGAATACTTCTCAAAAGAAGAAATTCAGGAGCCAGCATATTAATGAGAGATGCTCAGCCTCATCAGCTGTTGGGAAAATGCAAGTCAAAACCACTGCAAGATATCATTTCATCTCCTTTAGAAGACCTATTTTTATTTTATTATTTTTTTTGGATATGGGGGATTGAACTCTGGGGCACTCAACCACTGAGCCACATCCGCAGCCCAGTTTTGTATTTTGTTTAGAGACAGAGTCTCACTGAGTTGCATAGGGCCTCCCTATTACTGAGGCTTGCTTTGAACWMCCGATGCTCCTGCCTCAGTCTCCCGAGTTGCTGGGATTGAAGGTGTGCTCTACCGCGCCCAGCAAAAGAACTGTTTTTAAACATGCAAAAATATTAAAAAATTATGGCAGGGGTTTTGAGAAAAGAAAACTTTCATGCTTTGTTGGTGGGAAGGTAAAATACTATCTTTTAAATAATGCATTGAACCATTGTAACAAAATCAGTAGATTCCTGAAGACTCAGAGCGAACACTCACTGAATTTAACTCAGTATGTGGAACATTAATATTAWGTGGGATATCTGTCCTGTTAGAATAATGAATCTAGGAAAGTTAAATATCCTCCAAATAATTTTATCTTTTCCATTTTGACGATAGATGTAGTATATTGAAAATAAAGTAAACATATATTTTGGAAGTTTTAATATACATTTGTTTGGTATTATCCAGTTTATAATGTGAAATGTTTTATAAATGGTAACTATTACAGATCACTTTGTATATTTTAGGCAGTTTCAGCAGCAGAGAGATCTAACAGAAGTGATCATTTAGCACTGAATAAGAACCAGTTTTTGTTATTGTATTGTGTAATGCTGTTGTGATTTTTTTTTTAATGGAGTTTTGTTATATTGGTCTTAAACTTGTGGACTCAACTGATATTTTAACCTCAGCTTCCCAAGTAGCTGGAACTACAGGTACATGCCACTGTGCCTGGCTGTCTCATCAGTTTTGAATCTAAAACTATTGTTTGAAAATTAGATTTTTTTTAACTTGAAGCTTTATAACTATTTTTAGTATATGTAGTTTGTTCCCCCATTTTACCAAGTTTAATTTTTTTGTGTTCTGACACAGACAAGAAAAGAGTTCTGCAGGTCTTGGTCATATCTTAGCAGCCCTTATTATCTTTCTCAAATCCTTGGCTGTCAACTTCCGAATTCAAGTATGTGAATTAGGAGATGAAATTCTGCCTACCTTACTTTATGTTTGGACTCAACATAGATCTAATGATTCCTTAAAAGAAGTAATTATTGAATTATTTCAACTGCAAATTTATATCCATCATCCAAAAGGAGCCAAAATCCAGGAAAAAGGTATAAAGGCAATTTTTACTGTTTTGAATTTAATTCCTCATTAAAACATAGAGGCTTAAGTATGACATCAGTATTCTGTAGGAGGATTTGATCTTCCTCTGGATTTCTCTGCTTGATAATGTGATTAACCTTTAGAATGTCAGATACATTTTTAGAATTTGAATCAGTAGTAACAACTTATATCATGCCTTTCCATTTGTTCAATACAATGTTGGATATTATGAGGAATACAAACAAATATAAGACCTTTCCTATTTTGTCTTAGGAGCTGATTATACAATAGTACTTAGGTACTAAGAGGTAGCACAGAATTTAGAGAAAGCAGGATCTTACTCATATGTTGCTTTTTTTGTGGCACCTAGGATTCAACCAGGGGTGCTTTACCACTGAGCTACATCCCCATCTTTCTTTTTTATTTTAAGATAGGGTTTAAGTTTCCCAGTCTGGCCTTGATCTTGAGATCTTCCTTCCTCTGCCTCCTTAATTGCTGGAAATGCAGGTGTGCACCACCACACCCRGCTCACGTATTGCTTTTAGTTATCGGCAGACAYATCATCTTTGTTTGTTTGTGGTAGTGAGGATCGAACCCGGGCCRCACACATGCCAGGCAAGCGCACTACCACTTGAGCCACATCCCCAGCCCACGTATTGCTTTTATTAGAAGATAAACAGTGAAARCAGCCAGTCAGATTATTCATTTTCCAAGGAAGTTATGTACATACTACTTTCACAGTAATGAGTTAGAAATGCATCACTGTCCTCCCTGGTTTTTTTTGCATTTATCTTCTAACAAGGAAGTATTGCTCAGATGGTGTGATTCTCTTCAGTAGATCAGAATTTCATCTGGTGGAACTGGAGCTGAGTGAGCTCACTTATGTCCCATCTGTGATTGCCTTTGGGTTTTTTAAAGAGAGAGGGGAGAGAGAGAGAGAGAGAGAATTTTTAAAATTTATTTTTTAGTTCTCGGCGGACACAACATCTTTGTTGGTATGTGGTGCTGAGGATCGAACCCAGGCCGCACGCATGCTAGGCGAGCGCGCTACTGCTTGAGCCACATCCCCAGCCCCTGCCTTTGGGTTTATAGTAGCCTTTGGATTAATTCATCATGGCTAGTATATGACTTCATTAAGGTGGCATGTCACATTGGGTATTAATAGCCCCCACAGTAGGGAAATTATTATAGCCACTCTTTGTTAGACTAGCTGTATGCATTTCATGGGCTTTTCTAGTATATGTATTTAGATATATGTTTAGAATATGAAACCACCTGAAGTTAAAAGAATGGTGATTTTTTTCATAGTTTTGCCTCTTCTTTTAATATTTATTTTTTAGTTGTAGTTGGACACAATATCTTTATTTCACTTATTTATTTTTATGTGGTGCTGAGAATGGAACCCAAGGTCTTGGGTGTGCGAGGCGAGTGCTCTACCACTGAGTCACAACCTCAGCCCAAGTTTTGTCTCTCTTACCTAGTTGTCACCAGTATGATGATGAGGCTTATTAGGAAATGTTAGTACATGTTTAGGGTATTAGTTAACTGCATTTTTTTAGGGTGATTTGTAAATTGGTAGGGTAATGAGGCTGCTATAAATGCTAATGTAGTTTCAGACTACATTGATAAATTTTATGGTTTCTTATTTGTGGGAAATAATAGCCCTTTTGTTCCTCATATTGGTCAGAACACAGTTGGAATATTACATTTACTAGACCGTGTTGACTCCATCATCACCATTGTAAGAGAGACATAAGTTTACTTGTTTCTTGGAAAACATGACTGAGATGTTGAGAATAACCACCCCAAAGGGATAACATGTCATTTATATATTAGTTGAAGAAACTGGTAATATTTTAGGAAAAAAGAAACACATAAGATCTTTATGTAAAAGAGGAAACATTAGTTGTATTTGGCTTTGGGATGGGGGGAGAATACATTTTAAAAGGTGGATCAGAAAATGGAAGAAACTTCAATACCATTGACTGAGGGTAGAATGTATGCTGTTAGGAAGTAGAACAACATGTCAAGGATATTGTCAGAGGAGTTATTAGTACTGAATAGAAGATTGGACCAGTTGTCTTCTAATGTTTGATGAAACTTAAYAATGTATAATTTTGTGGGGGATGGCAGTGCAAATAGAGTATGTAAATTACGTTTTAATGTTTTTATTATAGGTGCTTATGAATCAATAAAATGGCGAAGTATTTTAGATAACTTATATGAACTTCTAGTGAATGAGATAAATCAAATAGGAAGTAGAGGAAAATATTCTTCCGGATCTCGTAATATTGCTGTCAAGGAAAATTTGATTGAATTAATGGCAGATGTTTGTCACCAGGTATAGTAAATCTTGTCATATTTTGAAATTTCCTGTTTATTTTCCTTTTGATGTTTTATTTTATTTTATTTTATTTTTTAGTTTTAGTTGGACACAAACCTTTATTCTATTTATTTTTATGTGGTGCTGAGGATTGAACCCAGTGCCTTGCACATGCTAGACGAGCACTCTACTGCTGAGTCCCAGCCCCAGTCCTTTGATGGTTTTTTTTAAACTCTGTGCTATCATAAAAAGCCTATAAAATTACTCTGTACATATAATCATTTCTTTCAAAATGTACATATATGTATATGTAATGTTTATGTAACATAAGTGTATATTCAGTGTCCATATGTAAATGTATATGTACATTTAGATTTAGTTGGACACATCTTTATTTCATGTATGAAATGTATGAATGTATATGTAATGTATGTATACATTTTTGGAATTACTCTTYTAAGTTAAAAGATAACTCTTGCACATATGGGTTTAATAAAACCATTAAAACTAATAATGGAATTTCCCTTTTTTGGAGGGGTACTGGGGATTAAACTCGGGGGCACTTGACCACTGGGCCACATCCCCAGCCCTATTTTGTATTTTATTTAGAGACAGGGTCTCTCTGAGTTGCTTAGTGCGTTGCTTTTGCTGAAACTGGATTTGAACTTGCCATCCACCTGCCTCAGCCTCCTGAGCTACTGGTATTACAGGCATGTGCCACCACACCTGGCTTCCATTTTTAAAAGATTATCTATAGGAAATAACATGGCCCTATTCCCAATTTTTTCGTTTGTTGTTAAATTAGAATTCACTTAGCATAAAGGTCAGTTTTAATGTGTATGTTTCAGTGGTCATTAGTAATTTTAGTGTTACAAAGTCATGACCACTATTTGTTCCAGAATATTTTCATCACCCCCCCCAAAAAGAAACCTCATACCTGTTAGCATTTAGTTCCAATTCTTGTTGTTGTTTTTTAATATCTTTATTTATTTATTTATTTATTAAGTGGTGCTGAGGATCCAACCCAGAGCCTCACAAGTGCTAGGAAGCGCTCTACCGCTGAGCCACAACCCCAGCCCTCCACTCCTTAATTTATCTTAGCCTCTGGGAACCAACCATAATCTACTTCCAGTGTCTGTGCTTTRCCTGTTTTGGGCATTCCGTAGAAAATGAATCCTGTGTGATATGTGATCTTTTGTGTCTGGCTTCCCTCCTTTAGCATTTCATACCATGAATCAGTACTTCATTCCTTTTTATGCCTGARTAATATTTAATTGTATTGGGAATACTGTTTTGTGTATGCATTCATTAGTTGGTGACCTAATATTTCATTAGTAAAACTTTTTTCCTAGAGATTTGGTTAACATGTGACGTTTTTATTTCACTCTGTCAAATATTTTATTAAYGGTAAGTTTATAATTCCTTCGAAAATAAGTTTTTGCTTTACTTGATGATTTCATGCTTGATTTCTTGATGCTTGTAATAAATGTATCCAGAAATACCTAATAACTAATATATTACATTTTCTAAAAATGTCATTACTGTTGTGCAAAATGTTTGTTTCTTACTGTTATCAGTTTTATATATTCCCATAACTTAATTATTCTTGCTTTTAGTTCCCTGTATTTTTGTTTGAAAAGGATTTTTTCCCAAATGAAATATTAAAAATAATAGCAGTGGAAAATGTAGGTTTATTTTTATTTTATAGGTTTTTAATGAAGATACCAGATCCTTGGAGATTTCTCAGTCTTACACTACTTCACAAAGAGAATCTAGAGATTACAGTACACCTTGCAAAAGAAGGAAAATAGAACTAGGCTGGGAAGTAATAAAAGATTATCTTCAGAAATCACAAAATGATTTTGATCTTGTGCCTTGGTAAATATCGTCTTTTTCTCATTCAGTACCATTTCAGTCTCATTTTTTCTCCAAAACCTCCAACAAAATCATTTTATCTCATTGGTCAGAACTAAGTCATTTGTCTACTCCCAAACCAATTATTAGCAATGGGAAATGTGGTTGCCATGACAGGTTGAGGTTAATCATTAATGGCTTGTCTCCTGGGGCCAGGGGCAGAGCCACCTTTCTTAAACTTACAGACATAGCAAGTTCTAAGAAGTGGGGTACTGGAATGATAGGCAATCAATTGTTTTCTGCCTTAAGGAATTCACTGAGTTGTACATCTTAACAGGGAAAGACTTTGGTATGCATACCACCTTCCTATAGAATTAGATTAGGAAGGAATTAAAAATACTCTTCAGAAATCATAATAATTTTGACCTTATGTCATATCAGTTATTTTTCTTTCTTTATCATCTTTATTCTCATATTGCATTTGCAGATATTTAAATAATTGTGGAATTCTGTGGAGTCACAGAATATCCAGAAGTGTTAAATAACATGCCCTAGGACATTTATAAACTTAAGATTATAGTTAGACTTGTGAGCAATGTACCTTTGATTTTAACTATTTTGATGGAATGTTTAAATACAATTGAATTGTGAGAAAAAGGTATATTATTTTGATATACTTGTTGCTTAAGTTTGTGCTATTTTATAGTTGAAGGTACTTATTTCAGTTCTTTACTCTCTTTCCAGTCAAGAGTTTTTTTATTGAGTACCTGCTATATGCTAACTATTAAATATTAAGTTGTCAGTCTTCCTACCATTTTAGGAGGTAGGACCTACTAAATATTAACAGCCATTTTATTTTTTATAACTTTATTTATTTTTATGTGGTGCTGAGGATCGAACCCATTGAGGGCCTCTTATGGACTAGGCAAGCGCTCTACCACTGAGCCACAGCCCCAGTCCTAACAGCGATTTTATTTTGGAAACAGAATAGAAATTTTGAAGGTGATGCTTTAATTAAGATATTAGAAGGATATCATGTTAGTATACTTACGTATTTTCTTTTAGCTTGCTAATGGGATTGAAATATTTTCAGATTACTTTTTTCCCCCTTTCTTAGTCTTTTTACATTTTTCTTTTAGGCTACAGATCACAACTCAGTTAATATCAAAGTACCCTGCAAGTTTACCTAACTGTGAAATATCTCCGTTACTAATGATACTATACCAGCTTCTGCCTCAACAGCGACATGGGGAACGCACACCATATGTTTTAAGATGCCTTATCGAAGTTGCATTGTGTCAAGGCAAGAAATCAAACCTAGAAAGCTCTCAAAAATCAGATTTAGTGAAGCTCTGGATTAAAATTTGGTCTATTACACTTCGGGGTATCAGTACCGAACAAATGCAGACTGAAAACTTTGGCCTACTTGGAGCCATTATTCAAGGTAATTTAGTTGAGGTTGACAGAGAATTCTGGAAGTTATTTACTGGATCAGCCTGCAAACCTTCTGGGTAAGTTTAATATGCACTTCATCGGTTTTACAAACACACACACACAAYCTTGATCATATAAATAGTTTATTATTTTACTTAAACATTTGTATTCTTTTTAAAGATGCTTTTGTTGTTTGGCCAGGAAGACTTAATTTATAATTGTGAATATAGTTTTTCTGATGTGAAGAGTTACTAAGGCTAATTTTAAAGAGATTCTTTAAAGAATTATAGAGATTACATTGCTTTTATTGTAGTTTACAGTTATTTATTCAGTATTCATGAACCATATTTTTTGTAGTACTGCATACTGTTACTATAGAGAGTTTTTCTTTTTAGAGCATTATAATTATATATAGTTTGGGGGTTCATTTTGACAAAATSATACATGCAAGAGATTTGATTTTAATCCCATTTCCCGCCCCCCGCCCCACTTTCCCCTTTCTCCCTTCCTCCTTTTTCCCCCCTTAACTCTACTGATGTTCCTTTCACTCCTTTATTTATTTTGTTTTGATTCGTACTTTCTACATATACAAAAAGGTGGCATTCCCTTTGGTACATTTATATATATATAGATATATATAATATCTATATCTACATTTATATCTRTATCTATATATATATATCAGGATTTTGTTAAATTCATTCCATATTTCTTCCTCCCTCCCTCCCTTCTTCTTGTTCTCTTCCTTCTACTCCACTGATCTTTCTGTATCTTTATGATATTGAATCCCCTCCTCCACTGCCTTCTTTCCCTTCCTTTGCTCTAACTTCCACATATGAGAGAAAACATYCAACTCTTGATTTTCTGAGTCTGATTTATTTCACTTAGTATGATTATTTTACCATTTCCTTAGAGAGCGTTTTTATCAAGACTCTCCTCAAATGTTCCTAGACTTTTTATGCCACTTTTTTTTAACTGAATGTACATGATTGCCATGTGCCTGGCACTGTCCTGAGTATTGCAGGCACAGTTGTAAATGAGATAGACAAGCTGTCTGCCCCTCACAGAGGTTACTTTTAACAGTTGTCTTTGCTTCTTTGTAGTCCTTCAGTATGCTGTTTGACTTTGGCACTGACCAACAGCATAGTTCCAGAAACAGTAAAAAAGGGAACAGAACAAAATATATATGATGTAAATAGAAGTTTTACTTTAAAGGAATCAATAATGAGGTGGCTGTTATTTTATCAGTTAGAAGATGACTTAGAAGACAATACAGAATTGCCCCCAATTCTTCAGAGGTAATTTTGGCTTCTCACATACGGTTTGTTTTTTCTTTGTTTTGTTTTATAAGGTTTACTTTACTTATTTGATCCCAGGTGGATTTATTTTATGATAATGCAGAATTTCCCAGTATTTGGCTTAAACATTATACATTCTCTTTGTTTTTACTATGTTCTGTGACTTTGTGCCTGGATCATTTCTGTAAAGGTCATCTCACTGTGAGAATATGGGGAATATATACATAATTCTTTTTAATAATTTTAACTGATATATTTAAATTGTACATATTTATGGGGTACCATGTAATGTTTTGATATCTGGGTGCAATGTATATTGTTCAGATCAGGGAAAGCATATCTACTCCAAATAGTTATCATTTCTTTATAGTGAACACATTCAAAATGTAAAAAAATTATACAGCACATTATCATTATCTGAATTCACCCTAATATGCCACAAATTCTTTCTCCTTTAAATTAGTACCTGTTAACTACCCTTTCTCACCACATATATATTTTTTGTGTATTTATGTTTCTTTGTGATCTTCTGTAAATAGGTCCACTTTCTGACTTAATGTGGGTCCTTAATCCATCATCATGAGAGTATATTCTGGGTGAAGTTTGTTAAATTAAAGGAAAGAAGAAACAAGAGAAAGACAAAATAGGACTTAAGTCTTAGTATGGGGGAATAGAGCAGCTTGTTCACTTAACCTTTACACATGTTGATTTGAACTTAATGACTGGAGTGCAGACCTCTAGATCCTAATGTTTTGATTTTATTTTATAACCTTTTGTTTACTTTAGAAATGATCTTTAAAAATTAGATACGAYTCTGCTTCCAAGCAATTTGGGAAGCAATAGGAACATAATGTGTATCCTCTTTAAATTCTCCTTTCAGATATTAAAAGATTCACTACAGAAGAAAACAGTTTTAATTTAGGATCCAAATGTTAGAAATAAAAATTGATAGCTGAACATGGATGTTAAAGAATTTTTTWAAATGGTTTTTGGTCTTTTAATATAAAAACTTTTCATTTTTCTTGTTAGTAATTTTCCTCATCTCATCCTGGAGAAAATTCTTGTGAGTCTTACAATGAAAAACTGTAAAGCTGTAATGAATTTGTTTCAAAGTGCACCAGAATGGTATGTTATCTGTAGAATTATTTTTAACTACAAAAATAATAATTATAGTGGGGTAGTGACTTTATCTTATTAATTATGACCTAAATTCATCAAGTAAAAAAAAAAAAACACAGCTATTAGGGAAAATGTTTTTGTAATTTAGTGGTTATAATCTATGTTCTGTAGCTTCAGATCAAGATAATTATTTTCTAATGCTGTATAGTGTAACATGACAAGTGTCATTGAAAAAAATTGAATTGTGTTGGGAAATGAGGAACATAAAATTTATATGAACTGAGTTTTTAAGTGTGACCCATTTTTTTATGTCACATAAAATGTTAGCTTTAAAAACTAAAAGCAATTGAAAATAAAAATAAACAAAAACTTGTTTTTATTTAATTGACTGTTGTCATTGCAATTGAAAATGACTCACTGGCATGAAGACTCCTAATTTTTCAAAAGAGTATAAGATTAAAAAAATCCTATAATTTGGAGATATCAAAATTGAAAAAAATGCTGTTTTTCTTTTTGATATTTTTTTAATTGGCCATTGAAATTGTAACTTGGATTTCTTTTGTCTACCTGTTAGTAAAATTTGCTACCAAATAATTTAATATGTAGGTATCAAAGACCAAAAAGGAAAACCATTTAAACTCTTAACCTTTAATTTGTTACAAGTGATCTTTAAGTGATATAGATTCTGGGTTCATGTCTTTGTCCTTGCCACTATCCCTCATTTTCCTYTTCCACAGACATAGTACTGAGGAATTTAACTCAGGGTCTTAATGAACGTTTGGCAAATGCTTTGTCACTGAAATACATACTCTGCTCCTTTAATTTTTTTTTTTTTTTAACTTTGAGACAGTCTCCCTCAGTTGCCTAAGCTGGCCTCAAACTTGCCATCCTAGTCAACTGAGGCATGTCCCACCACACCAGCCTTATGTTAATATTTTAATATGAAAAGCATTGATAATTTATAGAGAGAAAGTATTAGGTAATTTGGTTATAAAGATCTCATTCTCTTGAAGTGAGCAACACCAGAAATGTAAAGAAGAGCCTTCATTCTCAGAAGTAGAACAACTGTTTCTTCAAACAACTTTTGACAAGATGGATTTTTTAACTGTTGTGGAGGAATATGCTGTAGAAAAGTATCAATCCAGTATTGGCTTTTCTGTTCATCAAAACCTCAAGGAATCATTGGATCGCTATCTTCTGGGGTTATCAGAAAGGCTTCTTAATAGTTACTCATCTGAGGTGAGACTTTTAGAAAAAGAACTAAAGCCTGTATATTAATTCAACTTTTGTAGACTGTTAATGAGSAAAAATATGAGTAGAAAAAGGCACTAAAGGTGGTGATAGGCTTGGTTTTAAAAGCAAAATGTCAAGACATGGCAACGTTTAGGGAAAACAATATGAAAAAAAGAAAACTGAAAAATAATTTTGAGTACATCTCTTGTACCAGGAATTCTGATAGACATGAAACAATTTTTTTGGTTAGGTTAATGTGGAATATGAAAGGCTGGAGCAGAAGAATTACATGATGAAACAAACCTCTCAATGGAAATGAGAGTGACATTACATTAACAGAAGGCAACCTTATTTATTGTTTGTTTGTTCTTTGTTGTTGTTTTTGTGGTGCTGAGGTAAACACAGGGCCTTGTATATACTAGCAAGCACTTTATCACTGAACTACATCCCCAGCCCCACAAAAGACACAATTTAAAYAAATCTGTTAGATTTTGGTGCCATTGGAAGTGGAAGGAATGATTAAGAATGGTAATAAGTGGACTGGCAATTGACCAGTTTTTAAAGTTCATTTGGGAATTTTTCAGATTTCCTTTTTACTTAAAAGAATCTCTGGCTAGGGACATAGCTCATTTGGTAGACTGCTTGCCTTGCAAGCCAAGGCCCTGGGTTCAATCCCCAACATCAAACAAAACAAAACAAAACAAAAAAAACAGCCCTCAACTTCATATGTATTGTTTGTTCTCTTGTCAAAATTCCCTTTTTTTTCAACTTGAAATGAATTTCTCAATAATCCACATGTTCAAATCCTTACTAAAGCCTTTTTTTTTTTTAACAAAAAACTAAGGCATAAAAAATTTTCATATTACTTGATATTTCAGTTTTTAAATGGCACTTACTATCATCTTTATACCAAGGATATTTATATATGTTTTATACACAGATTTATCTTAAACTATACCATAATTTCATAAAGGGTATATATTTTTATTAGTGTTTCTGCCTTCTGCAATGCCTTGTTAAGTGAAAATGATTAAAAAAAATTGTTGAGTAAAGTAAAACCTGTGAGCTACTCAAAGGAGTGAATTCAGTAGTCAGGTTTGTTTTAAGATTACGACCTGAAGAACCAACAAGGACAGTGTGCCTGTTTCCCCTGTCTTATTTATCTTTAATTACTGACTTTCTTCTATATCATTGTATTCACTTTCATTACAAAGTAATTTTAGTTTTGTATGTTTTCCCCTAGAATGCCATTTCCTACAATTTTGGAACAAAAAAATCTGAAAATTGTATTTTTCTGTGCAGCCTATGCACTCTTATGTYATTTTATAAAATTGTGTAAATGTATCTACCAGCAAAAATATATTCCACTAGTTTGTGGAATCTAAAAGGCAGAATAAGGTTGTGGTTCTTCGGAAGTTTAAACTGTCTTTTTACTATCTCTTTGTATAAATCTAATTTCTGCCACTTTAAGGAGAGATATCCTCCTTAGCACTAGGAGATACTTAAGCCATTTTTGTTGATAATCCGGATTATCATAACTCTGTAGTGATCTTCCAGGTATTTCTAAAGATGTTCAGAACATTTCACCTTTAACTCAGCTGAAATTTTGTTCCTTCATATGTACACAAAACTTGGCTCTCACAAAGTAATTCCAGAATATTCAGAATTATTTATGAAATTCATTTTTAAAAAATGTTTTTCTGGTTTATTTTAAGATTACAAATTCAGAAATACTAGTCCGGTGTTCAAGTCTTTTGGTGGGTGTTCTTGGCTGCTATTGTTATACTGGTATAGTATCTGAAGAGGAAGCACATAAATCAGAATTATTCCAGAAAGCCAAGGTAGGAAAATTTATGCTAAAGTTTTAGATAAATTTGAATTTCTTGATAAAATTGTTACATACAGTAAAATTTTATGCAGATTGAGCATCCCTAATCTGAATTGCTTCAACACCTGAAGATTTTTGAGTGCTAACATAACAAATAGAGAATTCCACATCTGAAATAGGCACATAACACATACTTGTACAAGATTACCTTTAGGTCATGTGTATGGTCTATGAAATAGATGAATTTTATGTTTAGACTTAGATCTCATCTTCAGATATTTTATTACATATATGCAAATACTAGAAAACCTTAAAAAATTTGAACTRTGAAACCCTTCTTATCCCAAGCATTTTGAATAAGAGATACTCACCTGTATTTCTTTCATTTATGCAGTCTGAAAAGCAATGATACTGTCCTTCCTTAAGATTTAAAATTTTTATAAGCCACCATAAATATAATAAGTTAAATAATCTCACATTAAAATTTATTTTTATATATGCTTTTAAAAGTTTTCCCTATAATGATTTGTCCCAAAGAATCCTTCATTAAAGGTATTAATCAACTAGGCTCTAAGCTTTTGTTTGGTCTCTGTACCACTCTGTGGTACAATTTGCAGTGAGAAAAGGATATGATATTTGTCAACATTTTAGTTGTTCATAATTTATAATTTTATTGTATGACCATGTGCAGCAGCTGAAAACATTTAATTTTTGACCCTTAAGTGAAACTTTGAAAAGTAATACTAAAGTATAATTTTAACTGGAATTTATATATTTTTTTTTTTTTTACTGTTCTTAATAGTCTCTAATGCAGTGTGCAGGAGAAAGTATCTCTCTGTTTAAAAATAAGACAAGTGAAGAATCTAGAATTGGTACATTGAGAAATATGATACATCTTTGTATAAGTTGCTTGTGTAACTGTACCAAGGTAAGCCATTCTTCCTTGGTAGTATATCCTGTTCATGGGATAGGTTTCTTGGTGCTGCTGGTGTGGTTTTTTGGTCCATTCATAAGTTTATAAACTGATTTAAAATTAAATGGAATGCTAAAGAAAGGAAATATACAGAGAAATAAATAAATATTTAACCTGAGTTTATAATGAAACTAATTTCATTATTTCAGGAAAGTTGCTGAGATTGTCTTGCCACTTKTATATATTACTACATAGATGAATTTTTTGTTGCTAACATATTTTCATTCATTTAATAACAATTTGCCCACAAGTATGTAATGTGTATAACACTGTACTTGAGTTAATGAGATAAATTAACTCCAGTGCAAACATTACTTTCTTTTACCCAGATAATCTTACATAAATTTGATAGAGAATGTTACTATATAATTGTTGTTTTGATTTGGAGCAGGCTTGTGTAGTAGTTGAGCCAGGCCAGAGTGTTGATAATAATTGGAAACATCTTTGAGAGCTAATAGATGAGCGTAAGTCAGTATTATTAACATAACATTATTGGTTTTGTGATGTATTATTCAGCATTTTGATATAAATAGGGAAGGAGAAAAGTGAAAAAATAAATTCTGGCCTATAATTGTCACTTACTTAGGTTTGGAATCAATAGGTGATACTTTAATGTTGTTTAAACCAATGAAAGAAATTTGATAAAGTTATTATTACTCTAAGAAAAGAGGTTAATATTTTTGAAACAACTTGTATGTTGAGCTAATAATGAGCTCTTTACCTAAATTTTATTTACAATAAAGAACATATTATTGCCAAGAATAATTGTTTTTATTCTTTGTGGTTTGTCTYAATTACAGCAGAATCCAAGTAAGATTGTATCAGTTTTGTTCCTACGATTGTTAACGTCAAAGCTGATGAATGACATTGCAGAAATTTGTAAAAGTTTAGTAAGTATACTTTGTTATAAGCATATTTCATTTCTAAGATGACTTTTGTAATTGAAATATCAAATAGGGATACATTTCACAATGTATAACAACTTACATTTTTATAAATGTAAATATATAAATATATATATTTATGAATGTAAATGTTATATAAGTTGTAACTTTAATAAATTAAAGTTATTTGGCTTGGGGAGAACCAAATTGCCTCTTAATACCTTGTTTTCCTCTTAATATCAATACATAGGATAGTTCCTGGGTTTTAGTTTCCCAATAAAAAATAGACTGAAAAATTGGGGACTAATCATCCAGGCTCATAACTATTTCTGTGTGACAGTACAACAAAATTCAACATAATTCTGTCATCCTTAAAAAACTGACAAAATATTGCCAAACCGGCAACATGTTTTTATTGTGATATTTTTCTTCTTCTGTACAAATGGGCTTGTACTTACACTGTATCTTCTCTATTGACTGAAACAATGCCTCTGCACATCATAGATACTTGAATATCTATTAAGTGGAAAAATATTCATTTAAAGGATATAGGATAAATTCTAGTTAGGGACTTGCTTGTTCAAAAGTAATGTGAATTTTACTTTTTGTTTTTTGAGATAGGATCTCTGTATGTTGCCCAGGCTTACCTAAAATTCCTGAGCTCAAGCTATCTTCCTCAGCCTTCTGAGTAGGTAGAAGTATAGATGTTTCAGGTGTACTCCACACGACTATACATGAGCTGGATTTTATTTAATTTTTTGGTACTGGGGATTTAAGTAAGGGGCACTCAACCCTTGAGCCACATCCCCAGCCCTATTTTTTATTTTTTTATTGATYTAAAAAAAATAAAATAAATGACAGTAGAATGCATTACAATGCTTATTACACATATACAGCACAATTTTTCGTATCTCTGGTTATATAAAGTATGTTGACACCAATTCATGTCTTCATACATGTACTTTGGATAATGATGTCTATCACATTCCACCATCCTTGCTAACTTCCTRTCCCCTCTCTTTCCCTCCCTCCCCTCTGCCCTATCTAGAGTTCCTCTATTCCTCCCATGCTCCCCCTCCCTACCCCACTATGAATCAGCCTTCTTATGTCAAACAAAACATTCAGCATTTGTTTTTTGGGGATTG